CCCTCCCTCCCTCCCTCCCTCTCCCTCTCTCATTGATTTTATCACTGCTGGCATGGGCAACAGAGAGATTAAATTAGAATGTCTGTGGGAAAATCTGGTTGTATACAGTATCTGTTATCCTCTCCTGATAATGCCTATTTTTCCTAATCTACTGAGAAACTGATTAAGTAATTTTCATGTAAATGTGACATCTGAAGTTTCTTTAACAAGTAATAAATTGTCAGATCCTGATTAGTCCATGAAAATGCAATGCAGCATCTTAGTGTGCGAATAAATTGCCTGTCACCCTAAATACACTTAAAAGGAGATTCTTTCCATCAAAATTAACGCAAGTGAGTTGTGGCCATGCCCCGGTGAGGCCTGATTGCATCGGCCGCTGCCCGCCCAGCACAGTGCACACTTTTTGTCATTATTAGTCTTTCCCTCAGCATTATATTGTTCTTTCTGTGTTAATGTTTTACTTATAATGACAGCACTAGAGGCTATGGTGCTGAAAGGCTGCGCTGCTGTCCCGCCTCTCCCTGCTGTTTTCTGCGGCCCCACCTCCTCAAGGCGGACTTAGTGACTTCTCTTCCTGGCGCAGCTCTGTCCACCCCCAATCTCTCCTGGTGAGCCCTGGAGGCCAGCCGGCAACTGGAGTCACGAAGCTCCCAGCTTCCCCTTCCTTGTGGCTTCCCCGCCCTTGCTCCCAGGAGGCCCAGTGCTTTCCTGGGGGCCTTCCACCCTGATCTGGCCCGAGGGGTCCCTGCAGAATCCTGCTGCCTGCACCAGGGACTTCTGTGAGGTTCTTTACTCGCCTGAGCTTGCTTTTCAAGCCCATGAACTAGTGAGCTTCAGAAACTGCCTCACAGAGTCTTCTTTTTAAATTATTTGTTTATTTTATTTGTTACTGATCTCTGGCTACAGTGCAGCAGAACCGCATTCCTGGTAGGAGGCTGGTGCGCTGGCATCACCACCTCAGTTCCCATCTGTGTCCCTCCCTGCCCTCTCATCTCTTGGTCCCCTCACAGAAGTCACTCTCTCCCTGTTTCCTATCACCTAGGTGTTGTTTTGCTCTTATGCTCTGGGTTTCCTCTATAAGAGAAGCCATGTGGTGTTGCAACTTGCGTGTCTGGCTTGTTTCACTTACCATCGTGGTCTCGAGGCGCCTCCATGTCCCACAGATGACTCTTGTTGACCCTTCTTTATGTCACAGCAGTATTCCAGCTTCATAAATACCACATTTTCTTTATTCACTCCTCTGTTGATGGACTCACAGGCTGCTTCCAAGCTTGACCAGTTGAAATCATGGTGCTGTAAACATACATATGCATGGATCCCTGTAATACGAGGCCCTTAACCTCTTTGGGGAAGGTGCATGGAAGGGGCATCGCTGGAAGTGGGGCTTCCTGCTTTCGGGTTTTGCGGCATCTGCACACTGACCTCCTAGTGGTCGCACAAGCTCACATTCCCACAGGCTCCGCACAGCGCTGCACTTCCCACAGCCTTGGCGGCACTGGTTCCTGTTGGTTTTCCTGTGGGGCTCAGAGTCCTGTGTGTAAGGCAGCCTCCCCTGACTTTCTGCCACGCCATGACCACAGGACCCCACTGTGGCCAGTGACAGTGCCCACACAGCGGTTGGTGACTCCCAGATGTGCCCAAGGACCAAGCCCCATTTGTCATGCAGCCAGGAGGCCTGGAGTGCTTCACAGTCCTGAGTGACACCTCAGGCCCTCTCTCCCCCTCCTTGGTGTTCTGTATTCATGATGACCTTTGCTGTACGTGGTCTCTGTCTGGATAAGGGGAGGGCCTGTGTCCTACCTTGCTGAAAGTCCTGCAAGCCTGAGCCTGCCACTGGGTGAGACGTGGCTTTCCACATCCCATCACAGAAGAGCTGAAGACCTCAGGCCCTTGGGCCCGTTTCTTGGATGAGTGCTTGAAGTTAGCATCAGAATTTACCTCTAGTGGATCGATGTGAGTTCAAGCATTATGGATTTAGTGATGACTGCTTCCAAATGTCTGTGAATTGCTGGTGGCCTGCACGTTTTATTGCCAGTCTGTAAAAAAGAAAATGTGTTTAAAGACTCTTACTGCACTTGGATGGTTTGAGTCTGTTGGATCTAAGAAGAGTGTGGGTTTGCATTGTGTAAGCCTTGTATTTATCTCATATACGAGTGATTCATTCATGTTATAATTTTCAGCTCATGATTAATTGGGAGGCAAAGGCAGTGCCTCCATTTTAGTTACTTTTTTCTCATTGCTGATACAAAATCCCCGACACCCAGAATTAAGGAAGGAAAGGTTTACTTAGCTCATTTTGTGGAGGTTTCAGCGCATAGTTGGCTGGCTGCAAGGCAGAGAGACACATGGCAGAGGGCAGCAGCTCATGGCAGTGGAAGACAGCAGAAGCAGCAGAAGCAGCAGTGGGCAACAAGCCCCTTTTCCTCTCTTACGTTGCTGGCAGGCTACCATCCCGAGGGAGTATGCAGTGCTGGCTCCCTCTCCCTGTCTCCCTCTCACACAGGCTCAGGATGTTTACAAAATGAGGAGCCTGGCCCCCAGCTGAGTTGCTTAGTTCAACTGTAAACTTCTCAGATTGACATTGCCCTCCCACAGCTCTGTAACCCCCTAATCCAGCCCTTTAGTGTCTCTCTCCCCTCCTACACAGATTGCAGAGATGAAGTCAGGCATGGTGGTGCACTGTGATCCCTCACATGGGAGGCTGAAGCAGGAGGGTCCTCACAAGTCCACGTCAGCCTGGGCTACATAGTGAGTTGAAAGCCAGCCTGAACTATATAGCAAGACTGTCTCAAAAGAAATAAAAAAGAACAGTAGGTAAACAAAATCTCTGGGCTTCTTCAATTTAAAAATTCTCTTCTCTACAGTGTATTCAAAATGTCTCATTTCATTAAAAGAGCTTCTTCGGCTTTGAGGACTTGTATGTGGTCATATTGTATGGTTTTGACATTCACTTGGCTCGGTCATTAATTATTTAGGATTAATGATTTTATGTCCTGCTTAAGACATTTTATAAACTATGCTTGTTTGTCACAATGTATGTTTTCAGAGACCTTCTTTGAGTACCAGTGACTAAGGCAGTATAAAAATTCCTCAACAGAAGCTGCCATCCTGCGTGTTGGTGTTTTAGGGTCCCTCTCTCCAGCAGCGGACGTCTGTGCTCTCCCCCACCCTGCTCTCTCGCTTCTGTTTTCTTCTCCGAAACTTAGTGGCACTTTCCAAAGACAGCAGTACGGTGTCCCTCCTCCAATTGCCTGTGGCTGTTTTCTTCTACGCAGCCCTGGGCAGACCCCTTTAAACAAGCACCGTCACACGTCCCCTTGGCAGGAGGGTGCCCCACTTGTTCACGTGGGGGCTGGCGGGCTCTATCTTAAGCACACACCTGCGCCACTGGCAGTGCCCTGAAGTCGCGGACTAGCTGTTGTCTCACCCTTTCCTCACCCACTTTTATTTTCCTGCATCAGATTCGTTTATTTATCTTACAAGACCACATATGCTTATCATATGTACTGGTTGAATGTACCACCTATGTAATATTTTAGTCCAGTTTATATATTTGTCTTGAAAGTATTTGGTAACTGTAGTTTCTGTAATTGCCAGTATGAGTGGGTTTAAATCTGTCATTTTATCATTTATTTGTCCCTTTGTTACTTGTTTCCTTATATCTCATTACCAACATTTTGTTAATTAACAAATTATCATTTTTGTGCCTTAATAATACCTTAGGTTTGTTTTCTTCTACAGCAGCATAGAACTCACTGCTCGCTTCCTTCTCCCGTGTGCTTGTCAAGTATTGAAATGCTACGTTGTTTATTCAGGCTGGTGATGGCAGCACCAGCTCAGATCAACACTTAGAACTGTTGGTTGAATTTATCATTTGTAGTTCATTAAGTAAAATATTTGAAACAACTTGTAAAATGTTAAAGCATAATCTTTATACATTCATTATATTTGTAGGAATAAGTTTTAAATTAGGTGATTTTTAATTTTTAAAGACACTGTCTCTGGCTCACGAGTGATTTATCCCTTTTCTTAACAGACTTTCATTGGGGACATCCTTCTGCTGGTCAACCCTTTCAAGGAACTCCCAATTTATTCTACCATGGTGAGTGTAAATTTTAAAATATCATCAGTCATGTAAAATAACACTCACTAGACATACACAATTATAGCCAATGAATAAGAAGAGAATAATCCAACAATAATTGAAGCCACACTTCTGAGTGAAATATTAAATTCTCTGTTTAAGTCAAATAAGTTAATTTAGTTTGTTCCAAGGAAAATTTGAAAATCAATTATTTTATCAAAAATATTTTTTGCATTTAAAATATGGAATTTTGCTATTACTATTCACTAGACTAAAGATAAATAGCATAAGACTACATTTTTCACACACCCTTTACAAACTCAAGACCAGCATGCTAAGCCTTTACTTGAACATGGGCTTCCTGTCTGAAGAAGTTCTGTCTTGGTAAAGCAATGGGAACAGGGACAACACCACCAGAGCTCTCCTAGGACTGGTGGGTTTAGGTACGAGGCCCTCCACATAAAGAAAAAATTCCATGTAGGAAACTATCCCAGCTAAATGAAAACATACTGTTATTTAGCTCTCTGCTTTTGTGAACCTATGAGTGGACCAGTAAGATAGCTCAGCAGTACAAAGCACCTGCTTAGGCAAGCTTAGGCAAAGCACAGGGATCACAGATTGATCCCCGGAACCACATGCCTTGCTAGCCCCATGCCCCAGGGTGAGCTGAATCGGCCACAAAAAAAAGGGGGGGGGATTGACCCACTTGTGAGACAGAAACCCTACCATAAAGCAGGTCCCTGGCACATGTGAGGCAGGGAGTAGACCTGTAGTCCTGCAGCGCTAACACAGCAAATTGATATTGAAAGGAGCCAGGAGAGGCAGAGGCAAAGACAGGGACAGGGAAGGGTCAGGCACAGGGACCGGGACCGGGACAGAGACAGGGACAGAGACAGGGACAGGTACAGGGACAGAGACAGACAGAGACAGGGACAGGGACAAGGACAGGGACAGAGACAGGACAGGGACAAGGACAGGGACAGAGACAGGGACAAGGACAGAGACAGGTACAGGGACAGGGACAGAGACAGGGACAGGTACAGGGACAGAGACAGAGATAGGGACAAGGACAGGAACAGAGACAGACAGAGACAGGGACAGGGACAGAGACAGACAGAGACAGGGACAGGGACAGAGACAGACAGAGACAGGAAACTCTCTATGCCTTCAAGAAATTGAATACTTTTCACAGGTACAGCCCAGGAGAACAGAGAGTCCTGTGCACAACCACTATCCACCTTCATTCCAAGGTACAATTCTGAGTGCCTTAAAATTGACTTGAAGCTTCCTCTCCCTTCCTTCTGTCCCCACACCTGGACCTCTCCCTGGGCATTTGTCCCTTCTCAGGGACAGGAGTGGGAAATTTCCCACAGTCATTTCAGTTCTAATCGAAGAATAATATTAACCTGACCTGTGGTTACTAAAAAGTGTCAAGAATAGCTCAGTGCTATTTCTGTCACTTTGCTATGAATGAGTAATATTTCTGTAAATATTTAGAATAGTGATGCATCAATATTTCATGGAGTGCAAATATTAGATACTGTTTTTATGTAATTTATATAAAGGAGTCACACTCTTAAAACCATTATGCTGATCAAGAAAAAGACTATTAGTAGCACCCTCTGTGTTTTGGGGTGTATGACATAGCAAGTACGATAGGAAGCAGAGCAGGATTTCTCTTTTGTGCTGCTATACAAAATCCCTTTTGTGGCCAGGCATGATGGTGCACACTTGTAATCCCAGCTGTGATGTAGGCTGAGGCAGACGGATCACAAGTCGGAGGCCAGCCTGAGCAATTTATAGAGAGTGCTTCCAAACAAAATTTAAAAAGTGCCGGGGATGTAGTTTACCCTGGGCTCAATGCCCACTAACAAAACAAAAATTCCCCTTTTATGGATATATGGTGATCGCTGATGGAAACTGGGTCTGCTTGAGAGAGGGTACTGCCACCATGCGCATGCTCACACCTGTGTCCAACAACTTGTTCTCTGCTTGTGGGATGCATACCTAACAAAGGAATCTATGGGTCAGAGGGTCCAGTTCTGAACACATTGTTCTGTTTTGAGAAATGCAAAGTTTTCCGAGATGTGCCAATTCATGTCGCCCTGTAGGTCACAGCAATTCCACTCACTTCTCTCTTGGCCCACATGTGGGTCTGTGTATCATTCACTCACCGTGTCTAGTGCAACCTCATTTCATGGTTCTCTGGTAAACAGTGGTACTGGTCACATTTCACAGGATTTTTGTCCAGTGTCTGCCTCTTCTGTGAGGTGAACATTCAAGACTTTCAAAGAAAAAGTCTAACTATTGTGATGTGACCTTTTTCTTCATTCTTTGAAGGAGACTTAAGTAATCTAGAGTCTCCATGTCTGTGGAAAACACTTTGTTAAGATGCAGAGTCAACATTCATTTGTTTTCTTTACACACATCAATCTGAAGCAAACCTGTTTTTAAGAAACACTGCTGTATCACTACATCGTGAACAGGTCACCAAACACGAAGGCTCCACCCATGCAACTCCGGTTCTGTCCCACTGGTCCACAGTGAGACATGGTGGCCCCTGGACCTCAGTGCTCCACATCCAGGTGTCAGAGCTGGCCTGGGTCACCCGCATTGCCCTTCTGGTTCAGAATCTGCGTACCAGTCCCCTGAGATGAGGAGGACAGAATTTCCAGGGATTTTGAATTTTATTGTATCAAATTTAGGAAAAACTGGACGCTTTATAATAATTTCTAAATATATTCATTTATTTAGGTCTGTAAAATTCCTCTCAAAGAATAATCCCCCCCAAAAAAGAATAATCCCCTTTTGCTTCTCTGTGAGATATCTTTTATAGCTTTGATTAAATATATTAAATACTATCATAAGTA